TGTCAGATAACAATTTATGCGCTAAAGCGTTGTGAATTCAATTGCTAAGATCCACGTCCCCAAAAAGAAGTGGAAAAAGGAACTGAAAAGACAAGGAAACTAGTGAGATAATGAGTAAATCGATAAGAATAGATAGATGCAAATAATCCGACCAAAAATGTGAGAATCCATGGCAATAGGGCGAACGTTAGATCGTCGTAAACTCCACGATTCCGCCAAAATTATTGGGGTCAAGTTTGAAAATTTGACTAGGTAGTAACACGACGCAGAAAACCGACTCAAACACTTGGTTAATTTCAGCATACACAACCACCACCTCTGCGTTCCACAGAACTAGATCAGATTAAGCTGTTAATGATTGGCGCTGTAAGCCTTAGCAGGTGATTCTCATTGTGAAAGAGTGAAGCTCTGCAAGAGGATTGGCTCGATATACTGTCAGTATTCACTATCTCCAAACAGGCACTCCGAGTGATCTATGTAGATGCATCCTACCTGGCGGTAGAATCCCAGAACGGTCGACTGAGCGCATGGTCAATGTTGTCGGAAGGTCAATCAACTAACAAATAGCAGCGTGCAAGGCTGCTGTTTGGCCTAAAGACATGGTGGCTGCGCCTTACAGACACAGCGAAACTGATGATGTTCCATTAACAGTGCCTGCGCAGGACGGCTTACATATAGTTATACTGAAAGCTGTGATTTTAGGCCTAGAGAAAAGCTTTCTAATGTCGCAGTTCCGTGCGTGTCAAATTCAAACATCTAATGCAGGTTGGGGCTATCCTTCGTATTCTAATGGACCATGTTTACCTCAGAGATTCGGTCAACAGTAAAGTGCACCGTTCCGAAAATGAATTCTAATAGTGGACCGTTTTAATAAATGATGCTTTGCTTTGCATGTATCTACCACTAATTCAGTAACATACAAGAGTTAACGGCCTGGAAGATCATCCTGAAGATAGAGAGTGCCTGCGACAATGCAACAGTGCAATGAAAATTTAGGACAGCTAGTGTTGCAATCAAAAATGATAATTGTAATAACATAATCATGAAGAAAATATGGCGCTTGGTCAGCCATCCGGTTAGCCCCTTGAGGAATACCAGTGCAATTCAGGCGACGGTTCCCATATAAAAGTAGTGTTGAAGATTGGAGCGATGTTGCGTCGACGAACCGAAAGTCTCGCATACTAGTAGAGGGAATAATACCTATTATCGCAACGGTGCCTTACGGACACCAACTGAATCCAAAGCCATTCCAGAGATAGATGGGAATTGCAGAACGAATGTGTCGTAACAATTATTAGCACGAGGCAGAGGTAAAGACATAAAAGTCGTATATCATTCATTCATCATTCCATATACACGTTAGTTAGAGGTGGAAAAAACTCAGCTATCTTGCGGCAATAAATGAGAGAGAGAAAACACGCAACAAAGGTACGCCAGCTGAGCCACCAGTAACGGATGGGTATGGTTCCGGAGAGCTAACAGTCGACATTGTGCCGCAAAAAGATTCACAGTAAGCCTGGGAAATGAGATCGTGGTTGGAGGGAGAGGCTAAGCGGGAAGCGGAAGGACAGAGAAACTCACCACACAAACGCCATTAAGATTGGCTCCTAGCCATCTCAACAAGTCTATGCAGCCAAGCGTGTTTATTGTCATGTGGGCCGCAAACATGGAACCGAGAGGCTCCAACCGAGGCAAAGTTCGAAATGAGGGCCTCCGTTCATTTTGACCATGTTGTCGGTTGGCCTCCCTCTTTTTTCATCCAGACCCCGGGCACGGAAACAACGCACGACGCCAGAATCGGTGTGCTGGCGTGCGCAACACGTAGCTCAGCCATCGGAACCTGGTGCATGATACAACGGTGCTGAGCGGTTCATTATTTCTTCTTGTGCCATAAACAAGGAGTCAAACACGCTCAGTGCTCACACGGTGTTCCCACTAGATATGAGACAAACTGCGAAGGCACCGGTGGTCGAACGAAACTAGCCTTTACATCTGCCGAGGTGGAAAACAGTTCAGATATTGTGCCACAATAAATAAGAAAAGAAGAAAATACGCAACACAGGCATATCAGCTTAGTCATCAGTCGAATACGCTCCAGTAACAGACACAAACTTGGCTCAATGAGAGTAGGAAACGAAGGTGGTCGCATGGTACCGATGAACTCGAGCAGTTGCATTGAGCACACATTTGAGTGTTAACGAGTGTCGAAGTAAAGGTGAAAATATGAGCCTATAAGTGTTTGATTGGCTAAAGATTAGTTGGAGAAAGCAATCGAGTCGGTGAGAGAGAAAAGAACAATATCCGGTCCGTGCTAAAATAGTTGCTTTAGTAGAACTGACTAGTGAATGTCTTTATGGTCCGAGAAGTAATCCAGTTGATTAGAACCCCAGTGGTCTGCAATTAGATACTGAGGAGGTGAGCAGCAGTAGTAACCACGGTCCCATAAACTGTATGCGGAAATGGTAAACAAATGGATAGTGTGATCACATGATTCCAAAGAATCAGAGGAGTATACAACGAGTAGCCTGAGAGTGTTTGGGATCATCAAGTCAACAAGATCAGTTTTAACACATAAGTCTGATCCAACACATGCAGCCACCACACTGCGGTGGCTTCTTGGATTAACTAAGCTGCTACCATAGTTGGTTACCAGGTTTGGGGGCACCCGCCGTGGGTCTTGGATTATGAAACGCAACCTCAAGTGTGGCCCCAGAGGACTTTCTAGTTAGCCTTTGTCATTAAGATCACTGTGACCATAACCGAAGTGGAGGATTTCGGTGTTGTTCGCTCCCATTACTGTCATCATTCTCTGCACAAATAACCACTAGAGGCCGATTTGCAAGAATAACCAGTCGAGGGAGCGAAACGCGCGAGACAATCTGAATAAAACCAACTCCGGAGTAAATAAGGCAGACAAATCAGTTGGCCAGGATCTGAGAACGGGAAGTGGTTGGCTAGTCAAACAACCTCTCCGTGGTGTCAGCTGGCTGGTTCAGGTTTACCACGTTAAAGAAAATAGTTCGGCGGCAGTGTTCCAGGACGCGGTATGTTTTCGCCTGGCAAGCGTTCTCACCCAATGTCCGAACTTCTTCTGTGACGAAGGAGCTAGTTCAATTGGCGATAGAAGTCATCTTTTACCGAATCATTACTACAGTTTTTGGGCGCGTAGGCAGCGATGACGAATAGACACCTGTTAGTCCCACGTGACTTCGAAGCTTTGAACGAGCCAGCCAATCGGACCGCACACAACCGGCTACTGAATGGAATCCAGTCAACCAGAGCAGCTTCAGCCCGGGGACGCAGAGCAATACCAACAACGGCTTGGCCGGTGCTCGAAGCTGCATCGTCACCGGATAGGCGCAATGAGAAAGTGCTGCTGGTGTCACCTGAAGGGGATCGTAAAGTGAACACAGAGGTCAAGTCTTGTAGGCGGGTCTCCGATAAACAGCAGATATCGATCGAGAGGGTCTCTAGTGTTCGGGCAAGTGCTGCCTGTTGACCGATCTGTAGCAATGTGCGTACATTGAGGCATGCCAATCTGAAGGATGATCGAGGGCTCCAAATGGAAACCGATGAACTAGGCTTGGTCTCTTGGTTGGACATAGGCTTGTCGACAGGACAGGAATGACGCTCCGCGTTCACATGTGAGTTGAAACTAAAAGGTAAAAGCCTATCAAGGCAAGGTGGAGAGGGCCAAGAATTGGGGGTTGCAAACTGCGGGGGGGGGAGAAAAGTGAAGTTGAAAGGGGACGGTAAGAGTGTAAAAGCGTAAGAGGGGGAACAAGAAGACGGGAAGGCTTGGGCAGTTGCATCCAAACCCCTATCCACCCTGCTCGATGCAGCAGATAGGGCACCGCTGATTATCCTTTGCGGTGGCCAGAGCATCAAGCAACTGTTTGAAGAGAAATTCATTGTATTGTGTTGGCAGGATACTGTCAGGTTGCCCAGGCCTAGACAGAAGAACGAATAGGATCCTCAACCAAAGCCTTTCGTTCAAAAACCTGTCCGCAAGGCAGCGGGTTTGGCATTGGGCTACAAGGAGTCCGTTTTAAGGAATAAGGTGCCACCCTCATTCCAACCGCCAACCTAGAGGACCAAGAGACTGAGTTTATCTGGCCTCTAACCATTGACCAATCCGGTATGAGTGGCTCTGAAGGTGCAAAAAAAGCACCACCCAGCATAGCCCAACGGATCGCTGAGGCACACAAACCATCGCAACACGGTAAGATTCAGTCTCATTGTGATGGCCAACAAATGATCGATCATGTAAAAAGGAATTACGCTTGCGCTATGCATTGCATGGATTTGTAAATCATTTTTTGCTGACATAAATGTATAGGATTTGAAAAGGTGCCATCACATTTATGTATCGCTAGTTCATAAGTTCGACATTCAGACTAAATGTTGGGGAACGCAGTTTGCGCATGCTTCCGGTGTGGCGTTGCGAAACCACCATAGGGTGGTGCTAGTGGTGAGAAACCTGAATGTCTGTCAAGAAATGGAATGCCATTACACAATGCGGAAGGTAAACGCATTGCCATGAAGGCTGACCATGCGCCTGCAGAACCTTACGTTTAAGATTCCTGCTTAAGCTTACGTTCAGTATGCATGCAATATGCTTCCAGTCGAGCCCCTCTTCATAAGTCTTAAGTGTTACCTTAGTCACCTCCGCCGAGTACAAGTGCCTATTTGTGACATCGGAGCAGAGCAAGTTGTTGCACTAACCACGGTTGCACTCAACTTGGCGTGTCTATGGGGTTAGTCACCAGACCAGTGGCAGTCGGTGTCAAGGCGATCACGTGATCTCACGTCGCGAACACAGTGTATTATGACTCATAAGAGTGCACACGGCCATGAGTGACATGACGCACGCGATGCACCTTCAAGCGTGACCGATGCAAACATTTAGCGAATGTGAAGAATTGAGGAAAGGTGTAAAGTGCATTTTAACGACTCGAACAAAAATAACAGATACAGTGCGCATTAAAATGAGAACTTACTGATGCATCACTGAAACATTGGAGGACGATCTTGTTTATAAAATCCTTTAGTATGAAGAAGCAGATGGGAGAGAGCAAGAGAAAAAAGCTGATTTGATTGAGTGATCGGAACACAAAGTAAAATTGTTGCAGGATGAACGCAAGGAATGGGGCGTGATCACAAGAGTGCATGGCTAATACAGAGGACCACTGATATTGATAAAGCATGAGCGATGGACAGTTTTGCTGCGGAACTCATCAGCTAGCACAGAAAGCATCGGAAGGCGTACAGAACATCTGCCTGCGCTTTCTGGGTGAAGTGGAATGATTATTGCAGCAGCCAAATGGAACGAATTAACTCCGAAAAGTTAGAAAACCGATGACTTGACTAATCAAAATGACCGGCGACAAATTCAGCCGATAGACCGCGTTGACTTCATGCCTAAAAAGAGGTTCGTAGTTTAGCATGAGAATATAGCTGACAATGCAACAAGGTGACCAGACACTGCCCTCAAAAATGAGCCTTAACTTCAAACTGTTTGATGCATGGGGATGGGGATGGACCAAATCGACCACAAGTTCTCAGACGCCGGGACCTCAGGTCACCAAATTAAGTTTACAGGAAAAGTATCCATGTAGGGGGAATATAACGTGGTGCAGAAGCAGAAAGTAGAGGCCAAAATTAAGTTCCGGAACAGAAGACGTTCGAAGTTGCAGTACATCGGCACTTTGTACAGGCACTTGCAGTCAGAAGCAGTTGTGCGGTCGAACAGGTTTACTACAAGGTGGCACACATTCACACAAGTTTGATGTCTGAGATAACAGGTGGAACTTCCGAAAGCAATCCTCAACTATTAACAAAACCAAGACTTGGAATAAGTACTAAAGGGACTCGCAGCGTGTACTACCAAGGCAACCAGCCAACAAAATTGTTATGGGATTGCGTCGCCACGGTTATAATTGAGGGAACGCCGTCTCTGTTCCGATTACGTAACGCCTGATAAGATTGTCGCTGGCCCGGTTGGAGCACGCCTAAGATGACGACTTGTAACGCTGGCCAATCGAACGGAGTTGCGCTGACCTGATGACGCTAGCTTAGCCGGTGAGACGGAAAATTGAGCGAGCGTGTGACCGATCCTAGCCGCAAGTGTTCGAATAGACGCGGAGCCCTCGGAACGGACGCGGACGAGGGGGACGCACACGAGAGGGGGGTTTACGGTAGACGCGCGCTAATGACTTAGACGCGAAGGCTGGCCAGCTAACGACTCACACGCAATTACGTGACCCGACCGACTCCCAACTGAGGCGAAGAGAAAGAAAGGCAAGTGGTCCTCTGTAGGCTCTTTTACGACCGACAAAGGGCGATCACAGACAGTGCTATGGGTTATTAAGTTAAGGAAAACTGTCACCACGAAGAGGGGGTGGTTTGTAAATGACCGTTGTCAGAAGGTGTGCAGTTTGGGCCGCGTCTCGGAGTGGCTGAGCTCTGCTGCGTTGTGGGGAGGAATTGGACCCCGCTTCCCACAGCCATTCTGTCGGGGTTTCTGGCGTGTTTTTGCGGGAATTATTGACGGACCCGCAACAAAAATAAAACACGAAATAGCATTTATAATTTCAAATAAGAAAGTAAGAAGAGGCAACTGTGAGATGATTTGATCAGGGATGACATGATAACACCTAAGGAACACTGCACGGTGACAACAGAATGGCTACCGTGCGAAGACAACACGGAAAAAGTGAGATAGTTAACTGATGAGCATCAATACATCCGTCAAAATCAGATAACTAGGAACCATGCACACCTTAGACAGTCAATTCAAACGTGAGACGACAACAAACATGTCATCTGTGCCTGTTGCAAGATGTTTTCTGTAATGTGTCGAACAATATATATATATATATATATATATATATATATATATATATATATATATATATATATATATATATATTGTTCGAATGACATGTTGGTTGGCGGCATCCGGTTTCGGATTTGCCTGTCACTGTGGCAAGCCACAGGACGCCTGCGCCTACAGAGGGACCATGGATGGCTTGCGCTGCACCACCCACAGCTCCAACCACATACCCCATATCCAGTGTAAACCCGAAGGAATAAGACCGGGAGGCATGCGGATGGGAACCACGTTTCATCAACGGAGCCGGCCCACACTCCTACACAGGCAAACACAAGCACGCTGTATTTGGGGAATCAACCGCACACAAGGCGGTGGCTGGACCGTAGTCCGCTCCACACTGAGTGCATGGAACCGCTCTTTGAGCCTAGCACGGCCACAAGAACCGTGCACCCCGTCCCCTCCAGCAACGACCAACTGTCTCCTGGAGCCAGTATGAACGATGTAGTGGGTAATAGACAGGTAGGCACCTTGTCAACATACACATCAAGCGCAACCATACCAGGGATATCAAACAACAGCCATTCACTTTAAACGACAAGCTGAAATAAAATAAATCCAATAATGCATACAGATACGGTGGCATAACTCTTCGCTAAATTACCATATGAAGTAATTTGGTTAGCAACAAATCCGTGAAAAGTAAGAAATGTCCACAAGTTACTTAAAATGCTACAAACGCAACAAAATTACCGAAGATAAGCGCAATTAGTGTAAGCAACGTGGCCAGTTAATAGAACATTATTCAGGGAGGCAGAACAAACCAAATAAAGCGGAATGAAATTTATCCAGCTTAAAAAGACCTAGTTTAAGTGTATATATATATATATACATATATATATATATCACAATCTATAGACAGATATTGTGTCATCGGCTTGCTTGCCGAACAACCTCCTCGTGGTGCCAGCTGGGAGGTTCGGATTTCCCCGTTCCAGCAAATGGTAACGCGGCATTTCCAGGAAGTGGTGGGTTTTCGCTTGGCAAGCGTTCTCCCTATAAAAAGCCATAAATGTCCGTTTAACAACACTGTGACGTGGCGGACGTGACTCGCCACTAGATGACGTTACTGTCCCTTGCTTCGTCCTGGCGAAGCATTGGGCCCCTGTTTGACAAAGGAACAAACGAAAGCCGTATGAACTGAGCAATCAGTCACCGGCTCCCAATGGGCGCGCAACCCTGAATTCGCTCCACTGCCTTGAAGGCAGGCTATTTAGCCAGAGGCTCGGGGTGGTGTCCCCTATATCAACACCCTACTTCAGCTTGGGCAACCGGGTAGTACCTAGCTCTCTGGCGAAAACATGGACTTAGATGAGATGTGTTGTGTATTCTTTTACAATTTCTGTACCTTCCTTTGAGTCCCACTGTTGGCGGTATCCGATTTCGGATTTGCCTGTCACTGTGGCAAGCCACAGGACGCCTGCGCCTACAGAGGGACCATGGATGGCTTGCGCTACACCACTCACAGCTCCATCCACACACCCCATATGCACTGTAAACCCGAAGGAATAAGACCGGGAGGCATGCGGATGGGAGCCACGTTTCATCAACGGAACCGGCCCACACTGCTTCACAGGCAAACACAAGCACGCCGTAGTTGAGGAATCAAGTGCACACAGGGCGGTGGCTGGACGGTAGTCCGCTCCACACTGAGTGCATGGAACCACTCTTCGGGCCTAGCACGACCACAAGGACCGTGCACCCCGTCCTCTCCAGCAACGACCAACTGTCTCCTGGAGCCAGATGGACGAGGTAGAGGGTAATAGACAGGTAGGCACCTTGTCAACATGCACATCAAGCGCAGCCACACCTGGGATGTCAAACAACAGCCAATCATTCGAAATGACAATAGCGAATAAAGTAAACGCATATGACGACATAAATACTCGCTAAATGAGCATATGGAAGAAATTGGTTAAATGTGAATACGCGATAAGCACAAAATGTCCGAAAGTCATTTGAAAAATACCACGCGATAAAATTACGCAAGTTTACCACAATTTGCATGGGCGACGTGTGTAAGTTGGGAGAAGATTATCAAGTAGGCAGAACAAAAATAAAATAAAAGGTTATGAATTTTATCCACACTAAAAAGACCTAGTTTAAGTGTAAGTTGGTTTAGCCCAACTGCGGTGAAGAAGCATTATGAATGCGACATCAGCCTCTGCATGGGGCACTATATATATATATATATATATATGTATATATATATATATATATATATATATATACATACATATATATACATATATATATATATATATATATATATATATGCCATCGGTAACATGGAGGAATTGGAAAACAGGGTTAAATAAAGGAAATCAATTTTTGTCATTTTCCCGCTCAGTGTTTGAGGTTTTTTATCTATTTTTATCGCGGGAGTGAAGGGGGATCACCGCAACAAGCAGAGATACATGACCGATACAGGATTTTGTTCTGAGCTAAGATCTCCAAGGTTTCCAACCAGCGGCACACAGCATCTTTGGGACATCATCCAGGGAGTCGAGAAAAATCAACGGAGGCCCGCTGATTTCCCAGCTTTTTGTATCTTGCTTCCAAATGTTGTAGGCTGACCACCACACCGCCTCTTCCGGCCCTGTGCAGCAACCTGGAAGAAGACACGACGCGGAAGACCCTGAACGAGCATACGCAGTACGGGTCCAAGATATGGTAGTTGGCGCAACCAGACAAACGCCTTGAGGGAGTGGTTACCTCCACCCAAGACACGCTGTCGGTTACGTAGTGTACTAACCACACACGGGCGACGGACCGCCCGTGATAGAAGGCGAGACAAAGAAGTAGGACCGAATCCATCGGTAAGGGACTCGATATCTTGCGCCAAGTCAACAAATACTCTCCTCTATCCTTACACCATCCTGGTTCCCGCGACATAAACAACCCTTCTACTCATGAGTACATGAAAATATATCCGTCCTAACAGTTTCTAAATGCTATGTCGTACATAGCTACTGTTAGCGGACACCGTGTCTTTCGGGGTCAACCCTGTCCTCTGCAACGTTCGTAACTTGCACGGCAGTGAAGGATAAGACGCATTATATCGCAGCTGGCTTGTAAACCATGACGGTCCGAAGCTGTCCCCGTGGAACAGTGGCATGAGCTGGTGACTGGCGGTTCAAGTCGCTGGTGGTCATGGGTTCGAATAGATGCGCACTACTGATGATGCCCAAAAGGCTGAAACTGCAGTTTAGTGCTTTTCTGGGCATGTGGACGACTATATGATTTGGAAGCTCACTGCGAGGAACCTCAATTAAAAAGTTAAGTTACTCAACAGTCACAAGTGTACTTCGTCGTTGCGGATATGCTGGTACCAACCGGTAAGAACGATGTTTAGTGCATAACGATAGCCAAATATTTGGAGGCGCAGACTGAAAGAGCCAAGTTTCATCGTAGCAGAGGAGGACGGTTCACAGTTGGTTTCCGTAAAAATAGCCCTGAGGATTGAGGGGAATCTTCTAGGATCAAAAGTAGCCCCGGCTTTTGCAAAACATAAGTTAATCTCAGTAGTAAATGCGCGTCCATTCGAATATCGATACAAAGAATGGTGGACTGGTCAGTTGCATCCAGTTCATGACCATCAAAAGGGAAAGGGCTGGTGGTCCTGCAACAGCCCATTGCATATTTGCGTTGCAAAGAATACGCCAAATGATGAAGCCACTCTTGATAGTTTACCCAGATTGGACTATGGTGCGTCGAGACGGTCACTCAAAGAGGTGATACCGTCCGCATAATCTAGATTAGACGGGTTTCCCTCAGGAAGGATAGTAATAGTTGCGTCGTAATATCCCATAAGTCTATAAGTTCGTGATAAGGTTGAATAGAAATGTGGAAATGCGACAACCCTAGCAGACGTCACCAGTTCACAGAAGAGTACCGGAAAACTGGTAATAGAGCTACGGTCGTTGGCTATGAGATGCTTTCTCAGCGTTGATGTGTGCGTAGTGGGGATAATAATGTGCAGCTCAGATACGATCGTAGAGCTGGTGGATAAGTGGTCTGCATGACTGGCTTGCAATAATAAAGTCACCAGTTCGAATCCGTGAAAGGGCTGGGCGTCCTCGCAGTAAACTCAGCCCACGCGTGACAGCTAATTGCCGTTACGGTGTACAGCGAAAACATTATTTTTAATTCAAATACGATCAGTTCAGTTAAACAAACACGATAGCAACATCGAAGTGAAGCGCAATGCAGTTCTTTCGGGAGGGTAACACCCAATATCCAGTTAGCACAACATGCGCCTCCATGGCAACAAGAGGAGAAGAAACAGAAGTGTGAGAAACGAGAATAATAAAGCGCAAACTTGGAGAAAAGAAGCCATATGAAAATAAGGTAAAAAGAAACGGAAGAATTTAGCCGTGCGACGCGCCATGTCGGGTAACGCATTAGACGATGGGAGACAGTCAGGCCAGACGGTTCGGTCAATATTTCATGTCTTTTGAGCACAGTGAAGAGAAGGTAGAAAAGATCCCTGGAAAACCGGATGGCAAGTATGCGAAGGACAAGACTAGGTAACGCGCGAGGTTTGAGCTAAACAGGTAGTGCAGTTCGGCATCAAACAAGCTGGACAAAAACATCAATTGGCAGAAATAAGTGCAACGGATGTATTTCTGATGTATACAACGCTGGACGCATTCCACCTGTCCTCGAACGATAACCCAACACAGAAAAATGCTTAGACGACCGGTGGTGGAATAGTGCACGCTCCCAAGTAAATGTTGCGGCGTCTTCTTTAGCGTATATCCGAAAAACAGTAGTGCACATAGGTTAACGGGCTGATCCTCCAAGTAACAAAAGCAAAGTGATTTGTAGAAAAGTTGAAACAGAAGTAATGCAGCGGAAACGAGGCGAACATTTTGGTTTCAGCTCACAATTCGTGCAGCCAGTGGCGGTAATACCCAAAAGGATGAAATGACACAGATTTAGGTAATATTAATTGAAAAGACAAAGGCGAATCTTTAGCAAACAGATAACACAAGTCAATAAGAACTAAAAATAACGGTGTACAAGACTCACTGGATTTGCTATGGCATCCATCGCAGGCAAGAGGACGCAGGTTGACAGTATTTCGACCAAAAGACTGTACGCAGCCCTATGGAGTGTGAAACATGGGAAAAACAGCACAAATAGAAACGTATAAAGAGGTGGAAGAGGCGAAAGTTATGACTAGAACATAGGCAACCGGCCAGCGAAAATGCCTTTTAATCGTCAAATTGCTCAGTGAGATCGGTGCATTTGTTGTAAACACTTCGTTAATAACTAAGTTGACATCGGTCATGCCCTGTTATGACGGAGCAGAGTACTGCGTTTGTGATTACGCGCCAGCTGGAATTGAAGGTTTTTTCTATTTACAGTGATAAGAAGGTCGGAAAGCAGTAAAAGATAGTTTTCGGAATGTAAGAAAGAATCCAACGTCAGTTTCGCTCAGTTCAGTTCAGTTGAACAAATATAATTCAGGCATTTATATAGTTGGCGGCATCCGGTTTCGAATTTACCTCACTGTGGCCTCAATAGGACAGCCACAGAACGTTTGCACCTACAGAGAGACCATGGGTGGCTTGTTGTACACAACCCCCACACACTATATCCAGTGTAAACTCGAAGGAATAAGACCCGAAGGTGTGTGGATGGGAGCTACATTTTATCGACGAAGCCCACACCCCTTCAACATACACAGCGGCAGCATTCCTGTCAGACGTGCCATACGTACACAAGGCGGTGGCTGAGCCATAGCCAGCTCTGCACTGTATGGAACCACTCTTTGGGCCTAGCACGGTTACGAAGATCGTGCACCCCGTCTTCTCAAGCAACGACCAACTGTCCCCTGTAATCAGGGTACTGTAAGTAATGATTTTTCGACAGGTAGGCACCCTGTCAACGTTCACATTCGGCACAGCAACACCGGGGATATAAATCAATGGCCAACATCTGAAATTCAAGAAACTCAACACGTAGGCACACGCACAGACAAACTGCAGCGATGGTGTAACACAAGAACCACATCGACCGCCTTGTTCGCCTGGGTTATTAAATCGTATGGAAACAGAGGCAGCATACTTACAAACGCTGCGCTGCGCTGTGCTGATTAGATATTCAGCTGACTCAACGTCTTATGTATGCTGCCCCCGCGTGGCCACGCTATTGGCTTGCCAGGCCCTCTTGGCTCAAGCACTCGCGACCGCGTGTGCTACAGCACCATGCGCTTGACATCAATGGAGTAGACTCCATCGATGCCTGTCGCTTCCGTACCCGGCGTTTCCTCTCCCCATGCACTTTTTGTTTCTTCTGTACCAGAGCAACCGCTCTCTTGCTAAGCTCACGCCATTCGCGCCGATCAAAGGTCATCGCTTCCCAACATCTGAAATCAACATCAGCATGTGATAACCTCCCCTTGATTTTGTCTTGGCAACGTAACTTCGGAGTTTCCACGTGTCGCTTCCCTGCACTAAGTTATTCATAAAGCTTGGGTATTCGCGCCGAATTCATGCGCCTGATATGCCCCAACCACTTAATGTGCCACAACAGAAGTATGCAGTCTATTGCATACATGTCACTGCGGCGCAGCACTTCCGTGTCGGCAACATTGTCGCACCAACTGATGCGCACAAGGCATTATTGCATTTTGGTAAATGTTAAACTGTGCAGGGGCCAAGACACAGCCTTGCTTCACACCAGATACAACATTTAAGTCTTCCGAAGTTTATCCACACAGCTGAAACATCGCCCGCAGCCACTGTACAGACATTCAAGTAAGCTCACAAATTTGCTCGGACAACCAATTTTATCCAACACCAGCCATATGATTCACCGTGTCAAATGCTTGTGCGAAGTCTACAATCGGCGACTACAATGGCTGGTGTCGTCCACTGAATTTATCCTGCAACTGTCGAGCCACCAACACCATATCTATGCTGCTACGGCGCGAACAGAATCCTCACGGCTCTTCCGCCACGTTCGGTTCAACAACCTAAGTGACGGCGCGGTTGAGCAGGATGCACGTGATCACCTTTTCCACATGGCTTAGCAAGTTGACACCATGATAATTCGTGGCACATCGCTTGCTCCCTTTTCACTTGTACAATGATAACACAAGGGCATCCTTTAAGGCAGCCGGCACTTCCTATACAAACCATACGCGCCACGCTAAGTGGTGCAGCGCGTGTAGCAACGCAGGTCCGCTGCGTTCCAACAATTCCGACAGTATCCCGTCGGCTCTGGCGCACTTGCCATTTCGTAGCGGAGCTAGTGCTCTCTGCGTCTCATTCAGTGTCGGTGTGTCGGCAAGACGCATCTTCACCGCTTGTTGTAGCAGCCCGTGCAATGTAGACAGTCAATCTCTGAATAGTTGTTCATGAGTCAGTTGACGTGCTCGCGCCAGATCTGCAGTATGTCTGCCGTCTGTGTGCAGGCAGCGCCTGAAGTAGCACCTAACAGGGTCCTCGGTGACTGCAAGGTTGGTCTATACACCGCTATCAAGGAGTCAAAAAATTCATTATGCTGGCAGCCTTCCGTGTAGCATTCTATCCGCTTCGCCTTCTAAGCCTAACAAGCATTTTTGAGGCAACGGAGCTCATGAGTCAGTCGTCGTCGAAGTTTGCGCAACTGACTATCATTCGCGGAGTCGGCAAGGTCCGCCACACGTGCAGCAAATGCTGCATTCTTCTACGACACCAATGCGCCAATGGTCGTACTGTTGTCGTCTAACCAATCCAGACGCTTATAATTTGCGCGCCCGATGGTTTCCTCCGATGCAGTCGTCCCCTGTTCACGGATACGCACCATAGGTGACCGAGTGATGCAATGCAGTCGACGTCATCATCGTCACCATCATCCTTATACGAGTAAGCTGGAGGTAGCTATGGTGCCGCAATGCAAAAGAAAGGAAAAATTGAAACAGAGGTACGCCATCTGAGTCAGTAGTAACGGATGGACATCGTTCCGGAGAGTTAACAGCCGGTATTGTAACGCAAAAGGAGTTACATTATGTCCAGTAAACGAGGTCGTGGTTAGAGAGGGATGCTAAGCGGAAGGGGAAAGGGGCAAATAAACTCACAACACAAACGCCAATGTGGTCGGCTGCTAGTCATGCCAACAAGTGCATCCAACCAAACGTGTTCACGGACTTTCGGATCCGGACCAGTAAGTCGACAGGCTCCAACCGAAGCAAACCTCGAAGTAAGGGCCTTCATTCCTCTTGATTAAGTCATGGCTTGGTCACCCTTCTATTTCTGCTATCCACACACGTGGAGCAAACAACGCACGTCGCGGGAGTCGGTGCGCAACACGTGGTCCAGCCATCGGAGCCTGATGCCTGATATAACGATGCTGAGCGGTTCACTTTTTCTTGCTGTGCCACAGACAAGGCGTCGAACACGCTCATTGTTCACACGGTATTCCTACCAGAGATGAGCCAAACTAGCAGTGAACATCATCAACGCGGGTAGCCATCGCTTTCTACAGCTCTATCATCTTCTCCACAGTACGCAGGGAAAGAACGTTAAGTTTGCGCCGGTTCACGGCAGGAGTGCAATCCATAGACTTACGAAAATATATGTACGATTTAGCCCGCGCCAACTTGTGGTCAGTGCCACACTCAGCTCCAGGCAGTACATGTGTCATGCGCACTCCACGCTGGCGTACAATGACATAGTACATTAGGTGAACGTAACGACTCCGTTGGTGCGTCCAAGTACCTATATCACACTCAGTGCAAAACGGGTGTTCGTGATCATCAGTGGTACAGTGAGAGCAGTCGGTCACCGTTCCCGTTCGCTGAGCTGATACCATAGGGAACGAATACGTCTGTCCACGCTGCTGCATCGCGCCCAACGCGCGCGTTGAAATCACCCAGTATGAATAGCCGGTCGCTCCTCGGCATAGACCGTATAATGCAGGACAAATGAGTGTAAAACTGATAACTCGCGCCATCAGCTAACACATGGTGGGACCATGCGTGCTAATAAAAGTCGCAGGCGAAGAGTCATCAGTCGTAGGCTGATGCCATTTAGGCGATTGGATAATGCAAATCTGACCCCATGTTCATGTGGTAATATGATGACGTCTCCCGTCCAGTAGAACGGGTAGCGAGCATCATCCTCGTGCAGTTTACCATGATCAACCAGCCGTGTCTCACTAAGTGCGGCAATGTCTATGCCGTAGAGCGCGAGTTCCATCGCGACCAGTGTAATTTGTTGCGTGGGACACTCATTCGTCTTCAGGTTGTAGTAATTAGTTGAAATGCGGACATGAAGAGGAGAATTTTGATGGGAAGATGAAAAACGGAGAGGTTAACAGGAACAGTTTTTCGCCTATACACCCCGCTGTATACAGCAGATAAAGTGACGCTTTTCTCTTCACTAAGAGACGGTCGACACAGCATAAGACTATCTGTAGTTGTGTGGTTCATGGGGCATGGTATGTACTGCCAGGGGGTTCACACGAGACAGGAAAACGACTCCGATCCTCAACCAAATCCTTCGATAAATGTGCTTCCGAAAGGCAGCAGGCCGTGGGCCATGAGCCTGTGAACTGATTCACGCGGAGTTGTGTCCTAGCTCGTAGCTAGAAGAAGGGTGTAACCCAATTTCCACCTAGCGGTCGCCACGAGGCGTCCAGGACATGAGTCTATGACACAACATGGGGATCAGCCGGTCAAAGATCTGTAAGGATCTCGCCACCACAAGCCTCGGTGTACCATGAACTCTTCTGCTTGGGAGCGAAATATCAGCTAAAATGGCTGAGGTACTGCTATTGTTGTTGTTTTGTTATCTGATTACAGATAAAATAGACGGTTTTAACCGATGGAATGATCGTAATGAGATACTACATTGAAGGGTAGCATAAGTCTGTTAATTACGTTTAGCTCTTCTATCCGATTAATGTATAGGAAGGTGCCAATTACAGTGTAGTTTGGAACTTCCGTGAGAAGTGGCTCGAGTAGTTTTTAACCATTTGCTGACTGAGTGCATAGTAGACCATGACATGACAAGTATCGGTAGGTTGGCTCTGTGTACTTTTGGCACTCCATAGAGGTGGGTGGCTGCGAGCCACAGGAGGTTAATCGGGCAATCAAAGTATCACCGATATGTTTAC